CATCCGACCCCCCTACACATGCGAGGGTCAATGCTTCCAAATGCTTGTTTGTTTGTTTGTTTTGTTGGGTTAGGCCCTTTCGGTCGACAAGACCATTGCAGAGCCGGAAGGATGATAGGAATTAGGGGGAGACATTGGTCTGGGCAGACATCCTAGTGAGTCGCCGGGGCTGAGCCCGTCCGAAGACAGGCCACCCAGCCCCAAGGCACTCACTGCACCCGGCTACGGGTTGCGCTCCCTCAGGAGCAGCGGTGCCGCTCCAAGGGAGCAGCCCGCATGAGATAAAGTTGCCTGTCCAGCCCGGAAGGGGGTGGCGGTGTGGAGGAGAAGGATTTCAGTATCATGAGGATAGAAGCACGGATAGGTGTTCCAAATGCACTTATCGGTTGGTACCTTTTCGACATGGTACACCCTCAAAGCTCGTAACGAGCCTTCGCTCGGGTGTCGCCCCCCCCCCCGCTTCACCGGCCATGGCTGGATTTCTGCACCCATGCACCCACAATGTTCCAGCTGTTCCTACGCCCATGTACCGGTTTACCAAAAAGTTGAGTATCAGATTGACATCTCTCTTCACTGCCCTGTCACGTCACTAGTGCCACCTACCGCCCGTTGTCGGAACCAAAGGCGGCAGACTGAGCCCAGAACCTGCTGCCGCCTATCGGTGATTGTCGGAACCAGAGTCGGCAGAATGCCGAGGTCCTGCTGCCACCTATCGTCGGTTGTCGGAACCAGAGGCGGCAGACTGAGCGGCGGACCTGCTGCCACCTATCGTCAGTTGACGGAACCAGAGGCGGCAGGCAGCCGTGGACCTGCTGCTACCTATCGGTGATTGTCGGAACCAGAGGCGGCAGACTGAGCCGCGGACCTGCTGCCACCTATCGTCAGTTGTCGGAACCAGAGGCGGCAGGCAGCCGTGGGCCAGCCGTGGACCTGCTGCCACCTATCGGTGATTGTCGGAACCAGAGGCGGCAGACAGCCGCGGACCTGCTGCCACCTATCGGCGGTTGTTGGAACCAGAGTCGGCAGAATGCCGAGGTCGCTGCCACCTATCGTCGGTTGTTGGAACCAAAGGTGGCATACTGAGGGTGCGTATTATTTAGGCCAGGGTTCATAATGTCCAGGGCATGATGTGTCCGGTGCTCGAAATGGCCAGTGCCTTGAATTGGCCAGTGTTCATATTGTCCAGGGATTACATGGTCCAAATTAGTGGTGTCATTTTCCAAAAAGTGGCTGACCGATACCGACCGAAACCGAAATTTGGGAAACATTTCCGACCGAATACCGACCGATAACATCCCAAGCCAAAAATTGACCGAACTTTGACCGAAATTCTAGAGTTGCTATTATTTTACCCCCCAAATTAAATTATTTGGTAAATTCTGTTTCAAAATAATGGGAAATAGCATTTCAGTCCAAGTTCAGTCAATTCTTAGCCACTGCAAAATACATTTTGTGGTAGAAGTTACATTGCTAAGGGTCATAGGTGTAGGAACAGGGGGGGACGGGGGGCCGGTGGCCCCCCCACTTTTCATAGTGGGGGGCCAGTAATGTTAACTGCCCCCCCACTTTTTGCTGAACTTTTTAATGTATTTGTAGGTATCACCCCGAAGAACAAACTTGACGGTTCTCTGGCCTGCCCTTCCATGAAGATTTCCATTTGTGCTTCATCGTTATTGAGTGCAATTTTCCTCCACCCAATTAAAGGTAACTTTGTCAGAAGCAATAAGTGGCAACTTAGGGGCAGCGCGCGCTGCAAAGAGAGACAGTACTGGCGCAGCAGAATGCGTAAACGGCGTAAACTAACAATTTATGCTAGGCGGCCTTGCATTAGTTGATCGGTTACTGGCATAGGCGTAGGAACAGGGGGCAGGGGGCAATGGTCCCCCACTTTCGAATGGTGGCCAGCAATGTTAAGTGCCCCCCCCCCACACACACACACCTTTTGCTGGCTTTTCACTTCTCACGTTTCACGCTCGCTCGTAATAAAAAATGTTTTTGGATGCATCTGGAATTCGCATGGGTGCCAACCAGTGGCGGATCCAAGGTGGGGTCACATGGGTCATGCCCCCTTGGGGCCCGGGGGCACCACAGGCCTACCAGGGGCACCACAGACCTGACAGGGGCACCACAGACCTGACAGGGGCACCACAGACCTGACAGGAGCACCATCGGCCTAGCAAGAGCACCACTGGTCTGCCAGGGGCACCACAGACCTGTCAGGGGCACCACAGGTCTTCCAGGGGCACCAAAGGCCCTTCCAGGGGCACCACCGGCCTCGCAGGGACACCTTGGGCCTGTCAAGGGCACCACGGACCTGTCAGGGCACCTCAGGCTTGTCAGGGCCCAGGAGCACTCTATTCCTTTCAAGAGCACCACAGGCCTGTCAGGGGCACCAGAAGCCTAGCAGGGGCACCGCAGGTCTGCCAGGGACACCACAGACCTGCCAGGGGCATCACAGACTTGCCAGGGGCACCCACTGGCCTCGCAGGGGCACCTTGGGACTGTCAGGGGCATCACGTGCCTGTCTGGGACACTTCAGGCTTGTCAGGAGCACCACAGTCCTGTCAGGGCCCAGGGGCACCAGCGGCCTAGCAGGGACACCACGGCCTCGCAGGGGCACCACCGGCCTCGCAGGGGCACCACCGGCCTCGCAGAGGCACCATGGGCCTGTCGCTGGTACTTCAGGCTCGTGTAAGGAGCACCACAGTCCTTCCAGGGGCACCACAAACCTGTCAGGGGCACCTGCGGCCTAGCAGGGGCACCACAGGCCCGCCAGGGGCACCACAGGCCTGCCAGGGCAAAAACAAATAAATAAAAAAATGAAAATAGGGCACCACAAAAATTAAGTGGCCGAAATCAGTTGAGGTTTTAATTTTGGGTACAGGTAGGGGCACTACTTCGATTCATGACCCTCCCCTTGGAGTTTTCCTGGATCCGCTCCTGGTGCCAACGCGGCTACGGAGGCCAGGGGGACGCGTCCATGAGATATAATTTCTGGACGGGAGTCTCCCCGAGATTTTGGTCGATTTTTTTTTTCTGGTCACGTTTTTTAACCAATTTGAGCATGCTGCGAAAATAAAGTGGCCGAAATCCGAGGAGAAAATGGATTTTGGGGGTAGGTGAGGTTTTGTGCCTCTGGGAGTCTGGCCCCCCCACTTTCGAAAACGTTCCTACACCTATGCTAAGGGTAGATTGCAGGGTACATTGGCTAAGGGTACATTGCATTTAACTTGGTAAAAATGGAATGCTTTCTTATTTTGAAAATGGTTTCACTGACAGGGTGACCGAAAATGTCCGATTTTGGGGGGGCCTGACCGACCGATTACCGAATCGGTCAGCACATCTTTTCGGTAACCGAATTTTTCGGTAACCGATTGACACCACTACTGTAATCTCTCCTAAGGCATTGCCTTCGGCACTGCACTGCTTCGCATTGAGCTGGTTCCGTGTTTTTTACATAATGACGTCACTTTCAGTGACTATGTAATCCCTGGACACTATGAACTCTGGCCTATTCAAGGCACTGGCCATTTTGAACACTGGACACATCGTGCCCTGGACATTATGAACTCTGGTCATTTTGAACACTGGACACATCGTGCCCTGGACATTATGAACCCTGGCCATTTGGAACACTGGACACATCGTGCCCTGGACATTATGAACCCTGGCCTCTTTGAATATACCCTATCTGCGGCCAGTTGGCCGCATTTGGACCATGCAATCCCTGGACATTATGAACTCTGGCCCATTTAACCCTATTCCTGGCGGGGGGCCTCAGGAGCCCCCCCCCCTGAGGTTTTTTGGTTATTTCTCCCAAACGCGTTCAGCTAGGAAGCTCAAATTTTCTGACTTTTCCTAAAAGGCTTCTACGCAACATGTCTGAAAATTTTGAGTTGATCTGACCTCAGGTCAGGTCACCAGAGGCGGTTTGGTGACCCTACCTCAGAAAAGTTTGCAATCACGCCAGAGCTAGAGTTTTTGACCGATCAATTTCTTCTCTTCAGGCTTTAGTTAGGGTACCAGTATGTGCAATTTGTATATCTCGGAATTTTGATATCGGTGACCTAAGGTCAGGTCAGTTTCGCGACCTCCCCATTATAAGTCAATGGGGGAAAAATCAACTCCCTGTTTTTACCACTAAAACGGGTCGGAATGGCCCCATATACCATACATGACTTCATATACGATCAACCTTCACTACCTTGAGGTCTGTTTTGCTGTTGGGCAGCTGTGAGGTCATGTGACGTCATCAAAGGTCACCAAAGGTTTTTGGCCAATAACTCCGTACAGGAACAAGATACAGACGCGTGGATGGTCTCATTGTGTTCAGCTCGTCAAGACGCATCGAATGATATACATGATGACCTCGAGGTCACGTGACCTGAGGTCAACCTTTGACCTTGACCTTGCGAGGTCAACATATATATATCATTCGATGCGGATTGACGAGAGGATCACGATGATGCCCTTAGTTTGTTCCTATCTTGACTAATTCGAAAGTTATTCGAGAAAAACTCTCCATATCTAGCGCCGCCATTTTGACTTTTTCGACCCCTGTGACGTCATCTTTGACCTGACCTGAAAATGACCTTAGTAAAAATTGTAGATCTTGACCGTGCGTATCCGATGCCGTTTACCGTTTGTCGCTATCTTGCTTCGTTCTCGAGATCTCAGGGGGGGGCGGAATCGGCCCCCCCCCGCCAGTTTCTTGTCCCGGCGGAGCCCGCCAGGAATAGGGTTAAGGCACTGGCCATTTCGACACTGGGCATAACGGACCCTGGACATCATGAACCCTGGCCAGAATGAATGCTCCCCCATACTGAGCCCAGGTCCTGCTGCCACCTATCGTCGGTTGCTGGAACCAAAGGTGGCATACTGAGCCCAGGACCTGCTGCCACCTATCGTCGGTTGTCGGAACCAGAGGCGGCAGACAGCCGTGGACCTGCTGCCACCTATCGTCGGTTGTTGGAACCAGAGGCGGCAGACAGCCGTGGACTGTCGACCTTTGGGACTGCCAGTGGACGGTGCACGTGTGGAGTCTCAGTCTGGGAGAGGCGTACCGAGTACGGACGGAGGAGAGGGCAGGTCGGACAAAGGAGACGAGGTGAGGTCAGGGAGAGGACACAGAATGTCACACACATCTGTGGGGATGAGGGGTTGGCCAAACATGAAACAGTGTGGTCTTTGTCGGTATTTTCCAGGGGCTCGTTCGCAGCGCTTGGTATCGTGTAGCGTGTTGTAGGTATGGCCGAAGCTGAGGTCCCGATAGTTATACAAGGATATACCCATGTTTTGTTCTTTTCCATGTTTTTCAATGCACTGAGTCCAAGAAATGTTTGTTTGCGCAACACATATTGAGATAATGCTCTGAGCCTTGGTCTGACCTCAGCCCAAGGCTATATAAACCCCTCACCCTAACCCAGCATAGCCTTCTACCAGAGGAGCTTTGTGTTCCGTGTGCTGCGTAGGTGTATTATCTCAGATAATACACCATGCTGGATTATCTCAGATTAGGTTTAAAGGTAGTGTGCCAGCTTTCTTGGACCGTATGGAGTTAATGGCCCAGATAAGGAGAACCGGATTTTTAGAACTTATCCATACCTTCAAAACTCATGGAAACGTCTTAAATTCTTCAAATTTTGAGTACCCCAGTGCGAAATTCGCCCCGACGGGTTGTCGGTCGTACCCCAACCACATTTCACACCACTATGAACAATAAATGCACACACTGAAATCGCTATTACCGATATGCTCATCCAATCAAGTTTCGATAAACCCGTTCATCATCATCTCCTGCGGTTTCGAACACGCCTGTTAGGTGGCTTCTGATGCTCGTCGAGGTCGGAATTTCCAAATACGCGTGGTGCGTCGGGCCGCGCGCTCTGACTTCGGCCAAGAAAAATGCGTCAGCTGATCATTGTCATTTCTGCCACTTGCGTGTGGTGAAATGGGGTCATAACTTATAAGACGGCTTTTTCATATCAATTATTTTACATAAAATCATATTTCAAACCATAAATAATGTTCGACAGCCAAATAAAAGAAACAATACCAATACGGGCTTACAGTTTAAGGCTCGACATTGTGTTGTCTACGATTAGACAGCTGATAACTCATTCCCGTACGTCGTATGGTCGTAACACTATAATGACCTTTGCTTATTGTCACAAGTGCGCCGCATTCGCGATTGTTGCCCGACGCCTGTTTGCAGGTGAGCCCACTACAGTTGTTATACATATCTAAAAACCGAAAAACTTTTAGGCGAAAAAGGCACTATTCCAGGCCCATTTTTGATTTTTTTTGCGATATTAGGTAAAAACAGAAGCTTCTTATCCTAGGAAAAATAAAATGGGAAATCTTTCAAAGGTGGCACACTACCTTTAATCGAGTGTCTTTACCTCAGTGGATTATCATGGCAATTTACTACACTAATAAGTGTAATGTCAATATTTAAGACATCATAAAACATGGTTAGAAGCAAAATTAACAATCTGAAAACTATTTGGACGTCAGTTTCAGTTTTACCGCGGGGAAGTCCCCTTTGTCGACTGGCGCGGTTCGCTCCATGCACGTGGGAGAGGGGAAGTCCCTTTCTACCGTTGAGCGCGACTGGCGGTTGCCATGGAGACGTCTCAGCTACCAGGATGAGGAGCTTGGCTGAGGAGTTTGGTCTGGTCAAAGCCCTAATATACCGGTCAGGTCAGATTTGACGACGTATTTCCGGTATGACTTTAATCTTATTACGTTTGATAAAATCGTTATAGTTGTTGTCGGGGTGTTAGAAAATAGCGTGGGATAACTATTACGGCTATTGCTGATAAATGCTGACCTCTGGTTACGACGTACTAGCAGACCTTATATCAGGAACGGATAGATTATAACTGAGAAATGTCAATCGGATACCAACGTTTGTGGTATAATGAAACCAAACCATTGTCATCCCGGTTTGGAATCAGCTTTCCAATGATTTGGGATGAGCACCGCTGATGGGTAATCCACAGCGAAGGAGGGCCGCGACTCACCACGGAGTGATTACTGGGAATCGCGTCCATTTGGACCACGGCTCTGATATCTGACCGGTACGGCGGGTCGTTTCCTCTCTCTCTCTCTCTCTCTCTCTCTCTCTCTCTCTCTCTCTCTCTCTCTCTCTCTCTCTCTCTCTCTCTCTCTCTCTCCCTCTCTCCCTCTCTCCCTCCCTCCCTCCCTCCCTCCCTCTCTCCAGCTCCAGTTGCTCTCTACCTGTGTTTCTGCCGCCTGAACACACAGACACGGAGCTGATCCACGACAGAGTCAGCCGACGGAGACACGACACCGAGCGTCGGGTGACCGGTGCTCGGTGTCGGGGGTAGACAGGGGTCAGGGGGTCAGCGGGGGGGGGGGATGGGGGGAGGTTGTGGAGGGAAGTGATCGGCGAGAGAGTCCGTGAACACCCTCTGCTCAGTTCACGGCGGGTGGGGAAAAACAAACATGAAACTTCGTACGAACCAACTGTGGCTCCCGTTCCATGTTTCTATCCTCAGGATGCAGAAATCCTTCTCCTCCACGCCGCAACCCCCCTCCGGGCTGGACAGGCAACTTTATCTCATGCGGGCTGCTCCCTTGGAGCGGCACCGCTGCTCCCGAGGGAGCGCACCCCGTAGCCGGGTGCAGTGAGTGCCTTGGGGCTGGGTGGCCTGTCCTCTGGACGGGCTCAGCCCCGGCGACTCACTAGGGTGCCTGCCCAGACCAATGTCTCCCCCTATATCCTATCATCCTCCCGGCTCTGAAATGGTCTCATTGGACCGAAAGGGCCTAACCCAACAAAACAAACAAACAAAAACTCACGCAGCACGCCTACACCAGCCTCTGACGTAAAAAAGTAGCTCTATAAAGGCCTCGCCAGGAGTCGTATCTCCCCCTGGCCCCTATCCACTCGTTATGAGAGGACCGGGGGACTGGCCAGATCAGGGCTGAGGAAAGGGGTCTACGTATACCGCATCATAGTGCCTCGAAAACTTCGTTACTTTACCCGCGAGCTGCTGGATGAGTTAAAGGGACACTCCCACCTTCAAAAAAGTTAATGAATTGGCACGAAAGTGATGTCGCTCGGTTCAGAAAGAGCGAAAACGAATATCTACCAAATTTCATCGAAAAATATTCACCGGTTTTCAAGATATTAGACTTTTACTTTTGTTTACTTTTTGGGATCTCCGCTGTTCCTAGCGACTTAATTTGAAAGTGCGGCATTTGTTGCGCGCAAAGCAGCATATACCACCGCGTGCTACCAAACGTTTTAGTAAAAGATTTAAAAATCGTTAGATCTCCGCTGACGTCACAAATTCTAAGGGGGCATACCAATGCACTAGCCCCTTAGAATCCGAAAACTGCAAGTTTGAAATTCCATATCTCCGAATTAAAGCATTTGTCGATGTTGTGAGTGCCCAAACCGGTATTTGCAGGCCATGGCCACCAATTTGGCTATCTCAACTCAAAACTAATGTTAAGGTGGGAGTGTCCCTTTAAACCCCCACTTTTTCGTCGTTAAAAAAACGTCCGCGTCGCAGGAGCGCCAAATTCTGGTTGCGTGTAGGGAATCCATTGAAGTTCATTGCGATGAAATTTCAAACAGATTGGTGGGGAAAATTAAGATTGAGGTTTTAGTGACGTCATGACTCCTGGGTTTCCGACCAACAACGGTATGTGTTAAAAAATCATACTCACAGAATAGCCATAGACACATGCCGTTACGAACATTAGCCTGTTTAAGGTGAAACCGTTCTCTCAGTCTTATACCGTACGTTTTCTGTTTTAGAAATGGAGACTGGACAGCTCCAAGAGAAGTTTATCCAGATGAAAGAACAGATGGCACTTCTGAAGGAGGAAATGACACATCGCCATCAAGAGGGCATTGTCCGTTTGGATGGGGAACTGACCACACTGAAGAAAAACTGCGACTCACTGAGTGAACAGGTGGTCGGACTGGAGGGAGAAGTGGCCACACTGAAGGGAGACAACGCCACACTGAAGGGAGACAACGCCACACTGAAGGGAGACAACGCCACACTGCGTCAGGAGGTGGTCCATCTACGTGAAGAGGTGGTCCGCCTGCGACAGGCTGTCCTCGAGGAGCGCACCACTCGCCAGGTCGTCGTGGAGGAGCTGCGGCAGGAGGTCCGCCGGCGAGCGGCGCCATCCGACCGTCTACAGGGGTGAGGCTGAGAGGCAAAAGGGGTGGCACTGGGAGGGGGGGGGAAGATAAGGGTAAACAGTTATAAGAGTTAGCCGCCTTTGGCTGCAAGGGATGACACTTGGTGTAGACAGTTTGTCGGTAATAGTCAACCCTGTTGTGTAGAAAGTTTGTAAGAGTCAACCCGGTTGTGTGGGCATTTTGTCTGTAAGAACCAACCGGGTTGTGTACATATACAGTTTGTCTGTAAGACACTGGATGGGCTTACCTACGTGGGCCCATGGTACGGTGCTGTCTCGGTAAAATGAAGACATCTCGAAATTATTGCCTTATAACTGACCATAGATGACGTCTTACTACGTCACTCTGACGTCATTTCACCACAGTGACGGCGAAGAGGTGGTCTCACTGAAGGCCGACACCTGTGACAAGTGTGACGCCACCACTAGTTGTGACGTCACCCCAACTACGGAGGAGATGGGGCCGGCGTCCGGTAAGCTGAGGCCGCCCGCGCCTCGCGAGGCCAACATCTACCACCTGGACACCGAGCTGCTGAAGATGGTGATGAGCAAGATGGACTGTAGGGATATGTTCCGCGCCAGGCGGGGTGAGTGTCCTGGCGACTAGCGAGGTCGTGTGTCACAATAACTATTATCCGAGTCAATGTGGTGTGTTTCCTTAGCCAACTGAGAGTTCAGCAAGTTGGAAAAGTCTGGGTGGATATATAAACGCCAATGAAGGGCTTGTAGCTATGTGAATTCCGGTTGCCATTATATGGAATATCGATGTTATATTTTATAGAATTTTAAACGCTGTCTGTATTTGAACTTTGACTTTGATGTTTGTCGCTGACATGCCGCCCGATACCCCTGTTCCTTCGGTGCCGACAGTCTGCCATCGGTGGAGGTCCGCTGTCGACGATATCGTCAGCGGCAGTGTTCGCCACGGGCCCCAAAATCCCCAGCCCAGCCCGGCCCGGGCCCATGGGTTCAGAGCCCGGCCCAGCCCGTAGCCCGCTCTTGGCAAATATTCCAAGCCCAGCCCGGCCCGGCCCGTCAAAAATAGCAATCTAGTTATTGTCTTAGTCTATTGCTATAATAAGCATGATTGATTACACTATTTTGAGAACAATTCAAATTGCATGAATATTAACATGGCAATCATGACTCCCTTCTTTTCAATGAATATAATCATTTCAAGCACCTATGGCACAAATTTTAACAGTAACAGCAAGCACCTCAGTCAATTAGGTCATGATTACACACCTATAAAAAGTTTACATGATTATATTAACTACATTCTATGAGTAAAGTTATCTTGCAAGCTGATGTGTGTGAACATTATCATTAATAATTGGTGACTCTAATGCATACTTGAAGGAAGTATTTGCAACATACTCTATACTTCCCAGCACTTACCAGCAGAAAAAAAGCTTGACTTATGGGAATTGATGAATCTGTCTGAGATTGACCTTGCTGTTAAATTCACTCCATAGATGCTGCAATATCAAAAGCCTGAGAAAGCATACAAAATAGGTGACACTAACTTTAGCACTGTCTTCCAAAAAAAAGAGAAAATCCATCCATTTATCAGCAAAACTGATTTAATCTATTTTCAATTCATGCCCACGTGTCAACCGAATCTCTGTGGACAACTATCTGCTACTTTCCTTGCTATTTTATGTTAGGCTCTTTTCAAGATATGGATATCGCTAGCAGCGTAAGCAGAAAACATGGTAAGCTTGAAATGTCATTGGGTACTTTTGCGACTTGTACGCATCATCATCATCAATCGAAAATGAGCGAACACTTCTTGATTGTCGCAGCTGCGGCAGGTAGCGATTCTGACGAATTGTATAATAAAACATATATGATCAAGTTTTTGTTTTGTTTTTCGTTCGAGTTTTCAGACTTCGTGATTTTGGTTTTATTTTTTATTTGTTTAATTTTGTTTTCACCTTGATACTCACTTAAAAAACGTATTTATTTGATATACTGTTGTGTATACTACCTAGATGCCGCCACATAAACATAGCGCCGCCGCCATGATTGCACATTTTGTTGAGAAGGGGCTGGTTTGTTGTGATTTATTTTGACAAATTTATGGACATTTAAAGAAGCTTTCATCGCGAAATACTCTGTAGAGTTCCTCGTTACTTACAGTGTGTTTTGTGAGTATCCTTTTAAGGTTCTGATCGTTAAAAAGCCGTCGGTGAAGGAAAAAAGACTGTGTTGGAATTGTCTCACTATCGCCATATATAAGTGTTAACTTAATGTAGCCCTGTAGCCCATCATTGTTGAGTGGCTTCTTAGTTTTTGGAGTTGTAGTGCTAAGTAAGTTATTCTGATGACTACATTTTAACTTTTATTAACAAACTAATGATGCTAGAGATTCTCTGATCTTTTTGGTTGCGGAATTTTTATGAAAACCCTCCTATGTGTGACATGATGTGATATTGGATAATTCTCAAGACTCCCAAAATTCAATATCAAGTAGGTTTTCTTTCACATTGCTTAAATTTGGTTTAGTTTTTGTATTTTCCCAGTGGGTTTTGTTTGCATCAGTTTCCAAATTTTCTTAAATTGACATTAGTCGCAAAACCCATAGTGCACAAAGCTCTTGGCCCGGCCCGTCCATAGCCCGTTAACTAATGATATTTGGGGGCCCGGCCCAGCCCGTAGCCCAGCCCGGCCCGTGGCCCGTTGGGCTGGCCCGGCCCGTGGCGAACACTGGTCAGCGGCTGTCGGCGGGAGGTAACCGATCGGCAAACCCGCGGTGGAGAGGTCCCGGCGCCGGCCACGAGCCTAGAGCTCGTGTTGAAGCTGCAGGACCAGCCGAAGGTGACCGAACTGCAGGCGCCGACCGCTGAGACGGACACCGATCTCCGACTGGTCGGTGAGTCCTCAGTTTGAGATGGACTGCACATAACCTGGTGCGGTGTGAACTGTCATACCTTGTTCTGACAATATCATCACTGTGGGGGCTGGGGGGGGGGGGGTTAAAGTCATGTGACACGTACATCATAATCAGCATTTCACAGAATCGGGGTTTGTTGATAAGCGTTGACAAAATTTGAGCATATCGTCTTTCTGACTTTCGGTCGCCGGCCGGGGTAACTTTTTCAAACATTCTACATCCGTGATCAGCAACATTTGGTTTCTTCACTGACGGTGATGCTGTATTACAGCGGACACCTGTCATGCTCTAGAGAAGGCCAACCTCCGTGGCTTCAAGCTGAGAGTCTCTGCTCTGCGTCGGCTGGCGCGTGCCAACGCTTCCAGTCTGCGTGAGCTGACGCTGCCGGCCGGCATCAGCGACTGGCAGCTGGAGGCGCTGCTGGAGCCGCTGAAGGCTCTGGAGCGGCTCGATGTGAGCCCACCCGTGGACAGCTCCGGCAAGTGGTTTCGGCTGCTGCCCAAGTCGCTGAGGAGACTGGACATTACTGGTGAGGACGGCTTCGTGGTGATTTGGAGCAGAGATGTCAATCGGATACCAACTCTTTGGTATACCGATACCAAACCGATACCAACTCGGTATTTGGTATTTCAATCCTAATGTGTTTGGTATTTTGTTGGTATCATGAACCCTCGCTAATGTTTAAGAGGCTAAGAAATCGGCAAAAAGGTGGTATTTTCCTCATGTTCCCAAGTTGGTTTGGCTTCGGTATTTCTCCACGGTTTTGGTTGGTTTTTGGTTTGGTATCGGTATTCCGATTTTCCGTAATTGACATCACTAATTTGGAGGAATGCGTTAGTTACTAGCGCTTTTTTCGTCAGCACGGACCTGATAAAGTTATCGCTTTGTGAGTCTGGCTGTCGTGAATGACGTAGGTAGGCTAAATAAAAAAAGCTATTGTCTCGCTGGTTGGTGACGATGTTTCTCTTCCCTGTGTTGATGGGGGATTGTGTTGCTCTCCACAGGATCGGGTATGACCGAGGCACCATTAAAGGTGCCGCGATGGCCGACGTCTGAACTGGATGTCAGTATCAAACAAGGCACGGACACACTTCTGGACCAGGTGGCTGTTCTAGCGACCCGCACAGTCACAGGGCTGGCCATATGGGGTGAGCATCAACAGCACGAACATTTCATATCCCACTCCCACATCTTTCCAAGAATTACAAGGGCCGATATATCGTGATTCGTGCTCATGACAGACGAATGGGGTCATATCAGCCGTAGGCGTATGCAAGTACATAACGTTACATACAACAATTTTTGCCTGCAAAAACACTGGTCTCTGTAGGAACCGTGCGAAATAAATTTAGTCTTATTGCACGCCCAGCGGCCCAGCCGTTCTGTTTGTAGTTTGTACAATGTACCTACTTGTTTCACGGCTGAGGTGCTAATGCACACGCCCATGACAACGTGCCGCTTACGCATCTCTTCATTTTCAACGTCCCTGTGCCCGTTCTCCTATGTATACCTCCACCGGACGCGTTATCTCGGGGATTATTAGGGGGTCGTGCAAAGGGCCGGATTCGGGATTGTGCTCGAGGCTGGTACGTACGCTGTTAGAGACCGATTAGAAGGGTAGCCCACACAAAGCAGTTTGGTCTTCCTTTGTATGTGGGTACACTGAGAAAACAGTATCCCCATTTTCGGTCTCAGAGACCAGTTTTCGGGCTAATGTACCATATTCAAAACAGACAGCACATTTCGAGAATACTTTCTGAGCAACGCCACATGGGCTCATACGATCCCTTAAATCGGTATCATTGATCGCAGGAACAGAGCTCAGTCAGTACCCATTATCGGTGTCAAGCTTCAAAACTAGTCTCACTATGAAACCAGTTTTCAGCCCGATCCCCATTTTCGAGCTCACCTGAATCCAGTTTGAGGGCTCAAATTGTGTGGTGAAGCCAATATTAGGGCTCACGTCATCGCTTTTCGGGGCTTTGGTAAAAACTGGATTGCGTCAGCTGGCTGGCCAGCTGGCGACGCACGAAAGGTATTTAATTTTAGATATACCTAAGCGCGGTAGTAGGATGGACATAAATATTTCAAATGGCTTTAAATGAAAAATTGATTGATAAATATGTATTCCTTTATATCTAGCATTGATATGTAAGAAGCTCTGCTAGCGCCACCATACGGCGCCAGCTGGCAAAAAATCCAGTTAATACCAGAGCCCGCTTTTTGTCCGATGCAGCCCCTCCTCCCCCCTCCCCCGTGTCCAGCAGCTGCGAATAAGACGAAGCCGCGGACAAACTTTTTTTTTTTGCTCGGCCAGCCTAGCGCCAGTCTCGAGCGGTGGGACAGTTAACCCGGCAATTTTGGCCGGGATGCAAAAGTTACGTTAAACCGGTTTATGTTAACCCGGGAGCAAATAACAACGTGGGAGCCTATCTTAGGTGTGGCAAAGCTAACGGATTACTTACTTGTTGCCGAAGTGCCCAAAGAAGGTACTGGAACCGAAAACACATTGGTTCATGTAATTATTAACATTCATACACACAGTCATACTTGTGCAAGGTGTCAGTGTTCGGTTGTGGGGTGTAATAGCCAGGGAAAAAGTTCTATGAACTGAAAAACCCGGCGCCTATTACTTCGCACCATGGTTGTGTATTCAACATGAACTGCAAGGAGTGCAGACGACATTGCCTGTGCTAACTTAACGTCTCACGGGCAGCGCCGCGCTCTGACACCTTGGTCCCAGGGTGCAGGGTCCCAGAAGCGGCGGCGTTTCTGGCAGCAAATCGCCGGAGAGCCGGTCGACGCCGTCGAGGGGGACTGAGCAGACCGCTGCCAGCTCCACCTTCACGTCCGCGCAGCGCAGCTCGGTGTGCGGCGGCGGCTCATCGCGCGGGCCGCACCCGTCCGTCCGCTGCACGAGCCGCTTTTCGATCCGACAGCGCAACACCGGCACACCATTGTGCTGGCTGAGCGGCGGCAGCGGCACGTAGGCAACAAAACAGTAGAAATCGATGGGCCTGGATCGGCGTTGCCAGCAACGCCGGCAGCGGCGCGGCGGGAGGCGCCAGTGCCGCCGTCGGGGACGTGTGCCCTTCGCTGCGCTCATTCGAGTTGGCCGGCCGGCCGCGCGGCGTAGTCCTTTTGACACGGTGCGAGAAGAGCCGGATGAAGGTGGACTTTTTATTGGCGTTGCTGGTGCTCACGCCGCCGGCGTCCAGTTTGGGCGGCAAGTCCGAGTACCAGGAGTCGGACAAGTCCCGCGCGAACGCCGCCAGCCGGTCGTCGTCACTGCTGGCGGCGGCCCGCCGACGGCGCTGCCTCAGAATCGGACGAGTCAGTGGTACTGAGCACCTCGCGGGACGGGTAGCTGGGAGTGGGCCGGCCGCGGCCCCTGCCAGGCCGCGCCACCTCCACCGGCGCAGCCGCCTTCAAACTGCCCTTGCTGGGCGGCGGGTTGGTCGGCGGAGGCGGCAGCGGTGCCTCGACGTCAGTCCGAGTCGCTGTCACTGGGCGGCCGCCGCGGAGACGGCTTCTGTTTGACCCGCAGCCGGCCTGGGCCGGCTCGGCGCCCTCGGCCGGCGGCGCGCGCCGTTTCGAGCGTTTCACCTTTTCACTGTTCCTCTCGCCTGGTCCTCAGCGTCGAGCGGCTCGGCGCTGTTCGGTTTCATGTGGCCCATGCCGCTGGGAAACTCGGGTGGGGACAGCTTTCTGACTGGAGTGCCGTCGAAGATGGAGGAGACGGGGGTGCTCGCAGAGTCCTTGCCCAATGCCCATGATAGAGCCGAGGCTCCACTGGACGCCCAGCTTAATCGGGCTATCGCCGCCCTCCTTCTATGGTGGATTCTTCGGCCCCCTACAGCCACTAGGGCCATCATATACCCTCAGATGGCGGCACCTAGGGGATGAGGGGGGGGGGTGTCTGGGCCACTTGTCCACCTCGTGGCGTCGCCAGCGACGCCTGCGAGTCGGAGCAAATGATTATGGGGTCTTCCTCGAAAGACGGGTGCTCCAGGAGATGTTGCTTTGCCGTCTTGAGCGCCACCATCTCAGATCGGTAAATGGAGCAAAGCCTCCCCGCCGCCTCCCGCAGTACCAATGTTGTACTGTCTGGGTGCTCGGTGAGGACCCCAGCGCCGCCTTCCTATTACTCCCCCGGTCGCAGACCCGTCGACCCAGGCCCACGTCGCACGCTGGGGGAGCGCTCCCAGGCACGCCTCCGCAGCACTCCTCCTCGCTGTCGCGGACGCCCCGATCGGCAGCCGGTCCAGGTGGACCGTGACGCCGTCTGTTGGCGTCTACGGGGGCAGTCTCGTGGATAAGCGCGCCTCGGCGGGCAGCGCCACTCCAGTGGTCCCACACCGCTCCCCCACGCTCTCTCCAGCCGGTCACTGACTTCAGTCACGGTTGGGGGGGGGGGGCTTCCGCCACGACGCGGCGGGTCCTCCGACGGGATGTAACACGGCGGTTTCTCGTGCCCAGGGCGGGGCGCGCCGGTGTTGTAGTCAGCCCTTGCCAGAAGAGATGCTCTGCCAGTCCAGGTGTATTGTTTCACGAGCACAACACAGCGAGATGGTCAGCTACGGTATCGGTTGAGACCGATGCAGAAACACGTCCGGCGTGGGTGACGGCCGGGGTCTTCTCTACACAAGCACGCGGAGCAGATGGTATGTGTCCAGCGGCTGTGGAGCTCGGAGGTCTCCTCGAGCGAGAGAGAGAGCACGTCCGACGCCGATGATGGCTCTAGGTCTTCTCCCAGTCCCCCCCGATCGGGTGACTTCAGCAGAACTATCCTATTCTAAGGGCGGTGGCCCTCTAACCCTGCGTGGCGACTTACTATTGGCCGTTCCATATATGGTTGCACAGTTGTGATTGGTCATCACCACGTCGTACGATCGAGAATCATGCGTCACGTGAGTGAGAGCGTCACACGCTGGTCTCGTGGTCCTAAGTGCATCCGGCTACGCAACGTTGCAAAGACATCAGACGGCACTTAGCAGGCAGTGGCTGACTTCTAGGTATAGAGTCTCTAGAGCGCGTTTGACAGAAGACAGACTAAAAGCTGACGTTTGTAGATAACACACCGGCGGCGCGGCGCAGAGTGCTGGAGACGATGAGTCACGATCATGAATAAACTATGACGCGTCGTCGGCCGGCCGCGGGGTCAGCTGCAGTGGGCTGAGCGCGAGCGGAGAGCGGTAAAGGTAATGAGCGTTGAAATGCGAAATTGAAATATAGCCACCACGCAGGTATAACTAGACTACGAACTAATTAAGCCTAAACCCTTAGAAACATAAGAAGCGATTCACGAAGGACAAACATCAATAAGCAAATAACTAACGCACTTTACACACCTCCCCCACCCATGGCAAGAGCTTTGGCTAGGACAAAGCAGAGGCCGACGCCTGAAGGCGAAGGACACAGCGGGGGAGTCACACGCAGAACACAAACACATCCGCGACAAGAACACGACACAGGGGCGGGAGGGCGGGAAGTGGCCGGGTGAACGCATTGAACGTCACTGAAGCACTTGTTGCGGTTCACGAAAACGGTTATCGTAGTCCATGACGTCAGTTATTTCGGCGGTGACCCGGATCGTGGGCCGTCGAGTCAACTGGTGACCCGGATTGCTGGTGCGCGGGGGCACTTCGCTTGGTAGCGCACGTCTGCGCTCGGTGCGGAACACTGAATCATACGGTGATTCGGATAGTTCCTCGGTCCATTGTGATGCAGGCTCGGCGCCGTGCATACACAAACACTTGCACTTGCACGCACACTGGGGAAAGAGGAACAAAGAGACCTCACGCCTGGCCATACGTGGCCCGTCACGGCATATCCGTTGTGGCACTAGACTGAGCGCTGAGTGATGCCGGTGCATCGTTTACAGTTACCACGTGCCGGCTCTGCTAGTGAGCCGAGCACAATGTGACACTCGTCAAGTTATGGCTGGCTCGTGATAGTCTCGAGAAATGGAAGCTGGGAGGACAAAGGGAGGAACGGTTTGTAGTCAGGCAGCGAGAGCAGTAGTGGTTAGCGCAAAAGCATAGTAGCAGTCAAGGATATGGCCTTTAGTAATCATAGGCGTATTCGTTATTATCAGCAGCAGCATTCATTCTCAAAAACATCCATCCACAATGCATCCGTTGTGACA